AACAAAAAGTTGGCTTGGCTTGAAGGGCGACCCGCCTAAAAGGTTCACCCCTTTTCGATGGTGGGTCACCCTCCAAGCCGGGCCAACTTTTCTTTATATCTTTTGCTCGCCCAGCCGGGTCAACGCCAAACAATCAGATCATGAGCAAGCGCTGTTGTCTCGGGCGAAGCTTCATTTTTTTTCTCATATAAACGTTCGCTTAAGTTGACTTGGGTCATAAAAGGGGCCTTAGCTTGACCTCGAACTCGTACATAACGCTAAAACTCTCACTGCGTTGTTCTGAGTAATTTTTCAGTCTCTAAGTGAAACGAATGTTTCACTTAAATTGTTTCCGAAAGCCAAATTCTGCGCAACCTAACGCTAGCAATTTAACGATCAAACCTTATGGGTAGGCAAATCAAAATTCAAAGAGGAAAATATCCTCCTCCTTCGCGTAAACTACAGGTAACCACTTCATTCAGGCTTTGGAAAGTCTGAAACAACTCGTTGTTGGGAAAGGCAATGTTTACAGGCTCCAAGGAAATGGGGTCTGCAAATGCTCTTATGATCATCCGTATGACGTGTGGTGAGAGACATGAACGACCACTTCAGGTTTGTCCCTTAGGACATATACGCTTTGTAAAATGATAGTACAGAAGAAACTCTATTAAGCGGCCAGTACCCGAGTTGGGCGAACACAATTGTCAGTAAATCACAGTCAACAAATGAAGGAGACTCCCACAACACTTTATGGCGACATGATTTGTCAATCTAACTTTTAAATCTTTGGACGAAATCCTATAGTGTTACCTTCAAATGAAACCTCTTCGGCAGTACTTTCACATGGTACTAATTATTTAGTATGTAATTCTAACTTTTAAATCTGTGCATGAAATCTTATGGTGTTGCCATTCAAATGAAACCTCTTCAGCAGTACTTTCAAATGGTACTATTTATTTAGTATTGAGTCTGTGGATGAAATCCTATGGTGTCACCATTCAAATAAAACCTCTTTGGCAGAAAAATTGCCCAGGCTTTTTTCTTCTTCTCTTGAGCAAAAGTTTTTTATCCTTACTTCTTAGAGGAACTATGTCACGATGATATTGCTGTTTCAGGTCAATTCTATGCATACATACACTGTTTACAGTAGCAGCCATAAAGGCTCCTGAGGCAGGATCACGAGGTTATCCCTATATTATTAAGATCCCTCCTTAGAGATAACTCACCCAACCCAGGAAAGGTTCGCCACCCCACCGGCGTCTACATCCCCTACTCTTTTCGAACAGTGGTGTGGGTTTTTTGTGTCTCAAAAGAACCAGATACGTGAAAGTGCTGTGAGGTGGGACCAACGGTTTTTCGTCCTTATCCGAGAAGGCTAGAAAGTCTAACCATTTGCAGATGTCATTACAAAGCCAGCACTTTCTTCTCAGTTTTTAAAAGACCCTTTGTGTTAGTCCGGCCGGGGTTTGAACCCGCAACCTCCGAAACAGCAGACCAGTGTTCTCCCAACAGAGCTAACCAGGCGGTGGTATGCTTAGTGCCTTAAATAATAATACATAAAAATAGTTAATGCTCCTGTAGAGTGGTGAAGAAGATATGAAACAAATTTTACCAAAGAACTCAAACCATAATCATTTTTGGGGTGATTTTTGCAGGCATAGCACTTGTCCAAATTTTCATCCGTTGCAAGAGACGACAGGAAACAGTTACAATGCCTAAATATAGTCTTAGACACAAAACTGGGCCACAATAGTTTTTGGAATGCAATGAACGGTAATACACATTTTAGCTTTTTAAAGGATAACAAACAGCGTGACACGGCCCCTTTAAAATTCTGCGAAAAAATATAAGTTTTTTTCCGTGAATTTTTTATTTTAGCCACTGTTTATGGCAATGAAATGGGAACGGTAATTAGACAGTCGATTATACAAACGTCTAGCATAAGTTTCACAGAAACAATGAGTTGCAAGGAGGGTGATTAAAAAGCCGTCACTGTTCTTCCATGTGTGCATTATCTGGTTTCGCCGTTAATATTGATGTTAAAAGGGAAGAAGTTACAGATGTTACTAACATTGCAAAACAGCAAATATTATAAGGAGGACACAAGATAATCCCAAAATTATATCTTTATTGATTACAATCAAGTGATGACGACATTAAAATCAAAATCACATTAAATACGTTAGCAAACTACGCATTAAAAGCACCATTAGTTGCAAGCTTCCCTTCATGAACATGGAAAAGACTAAAAATACCTCACATTAATTCTTATGCACAATGAGAGAACAGACAAGGCAGGATTGCTGAATAAATAACACATTGATAAAAATAACACTTCGAAACCAAAATTTGTTACGTACTTTGAACGATTAGTACTGCTCTAAGTATCTAATCAAACCAATTACTTTGCTTTATGAAAGCGATACGTCCACACAAATCATTACTTTCCACTCAAGAAGAGAGCAAACACCATTAAATTTTACCGGATTAAATCGACATACGTTACTTCGTACATGATGCGATTAGCAAGGCCCGACTAACAAAATTAGTATCCCTTTCAGCAATAGTTTGTTTTCAAGCAACTGGTAACTTAATGGAGACATCTTGGTCTGCTTACAGCTCAAGAGACCATAAGTGTCAGACGGTTGTAACGATGCTTTTCAAGTCACTCGACACGTTCTTAAATTATTCCGAGTTTCTGATTTGATAAGAAACAAAGTAAAGCAAATTGAGATTTAACTGAGGCCTCCACAAATTTTTTGGGTAAGAAAAATTAAGCAGCCATTAAAAGGGCTGTGTCATGGCAGTCCAGTTCATTTTGTTTAATTTTGCCAATTGCTCGCCCGTAATCGCTATGGAACTTAATGTAAGCAAAGAAGTTACATGTGAATGACAAAATAAAAGATTCGAGACACATAGATATGTCTCTGGATCATTATATTTGAAGTTGCAAACAGCAGAGATCAACTTTGAAAAACTGTTGGGCTAAACAGTTTTCAAAAACCTTAATTTCAATCCGTTTCAATCTTCTTCAGTTTTGCCCATCCTTGGCATCTGTTGTTTCTGTTGTGTTATTTTAACCATCCTTTAATGTTTTAAGTGGTTATTTTTATGTTTCTCTTAATCTAACGGGCATTTTGTAATTACCTAATTTGGCTGAATTTCGTGACACAGCTCGTTTAAGGCCTAGGCCAAACCTCGAACTTTTCATGAGACGAACCAAACTTAGTAAGTTACGTTCATGAAAAACTTCGTCTGAATAAGTTTGGATCGTCCAACATGCTATCCGTCAGCTTCAGACGGATAGAACGTCTAATTATCGTCTCCGGGACAAACGTCGTCGATCTTCGCCGACATGCGACAAACTAAACCAGTATATTAAAACTTTGTACTGTATCACAGTGTATATTTAGCTTCGTTCGGGAGAAAATTTACTACTGGCCGGCTACCTAAAATTGCTTTTTGGTCTGATTCAGTTGATTGGTTCGAAGCGTCCTAAGTTCGTCGTCTGGCCCAACAGACGATTTTAACTTTATTTAGGTCGATTGAAATTAGGGTTTGGTTCGTCTCCGTGAAAAGTTCGACGTTTGGCCTAGGCTTTAGTCTACGACCTTAACAGCCTTTGTTTCAACAGGCTTCATGCTTTCTAATTTTCAGGCATGATTTCACGAATATGCTTCACATAACTTAAGTACTATTTTAGCAATTTCTTAACCTTAGAAAATATAACGCTTCAACATAGAAACCTTTTAAAGACCAGGAAAAAAAAAAGAAGGGCTAGAAGAAGGTTCTTATTGCTGAAAGGGCAGCTTGCCACAACACCACACATTAAACAAAGAACTGATTAATTCAATAATATATTACAGTTATTTTATCAGACTGTCAATAATTCCTTTCAAACATACAGAAATATATTAAGATCATTTGATACAAAAATCATATGTAATTATGGAAATCAGTGCAACACAATTAGTCCACAACTAATCAGTGGTTCAGTAAATAAAACAAAGGGCGCTTTCAGCTCCAGGCTTTTTAAAATCTAGCCTAGTGGTTAATCAGCCTTCTGTAGAGTTAGTGTTACCCATTGTCAGTCTAGTGGAAAAGAGAAGTTACCTGTTAGTAAAATTATATTATATATATGTGGCATGCAGCAAGGGTAGTGCATTCACAATTGTTGTAAATTTATAGTAGGGATAAATAGTACTGGGTAGCTTTACCAAGCAAGTTAAAACTAAACAGATAAGACACAGAAAGTAGTCAGCCGTAAAGTGACAGCCATTATTCTAGCAAGTTGCTGACAAACCACAAGCACTTACAGTGTACAGCAAAAGTCTGCAGGGATTATTAAATGGTCCAAAGTAATATTAGTTTGAAGGAATATTAGTCAGAAAACTTAAAAACCTATAGTTTTCCAATAAACGGGAGTAAAAAAAGGTCCTTAAAATTTGCTGTTAGCTTGAAAAATCCAGGAGTCTACAATTCATGGCGGAGTTCTGTCTGATTAAGATTTCAAAATACAATGTCCCTTGTGAGCAAGAGATTGTGAGTCACAGAATCACCATCTTATTTCCCTCAAAACTAAAAATGCCACATGATGTTAGAGCGATTTTCGTGTGACCTTAAAAAATGGTTCAGGTACATGTGTAAGTGTTCGTCATTTGTTTTATCAGCCAATGGATGGAAAGATAAAAACATGGACTCCTTGTTTTCCAGCCAAAGAAAACCCTGATAATATTAGGGTTTTTATGGAGAAGGCATTGTTCGATTGGCCAATTGTGTTGCAGTATAACGTCAAAGTGACGTGTCGTCTGATTTCTAGAAAGTTCTTCGGGCATGAAGTTTTTTCAGCTGAACGTTCACTTTAATAACTAACCAAAAACCATGCGCGTTTGTATCCATTCAACAAACCCATCAAATCACTGTGTTTCCATTTATTATTTTGTTGTTTCTGTTTTGTTCGCGTGATTTCATTTCAAGGTCATACGAAAATCGCTCTATCACAAGGTTCCCTTTCTACTCACCTTCATCTCTGATAGGGATGTTCCCTCACAGGTCTCCTTGGTTTTACTGCACCTGAAACATCAAAGCACTCATCAATCGCAAACCCCCTTTGGCTGTCACTCAGATATCAAGTTGCCAGGCACATACAACTAGTAGGTAGGGAATTGAAAAGCTTGGGAGCTTCTTCAGATTCTAACTGTATTTTTCTTTTGTTTCATACAAAAAGTAGCCAGGGGTCTGGGTCATAGTAGCTGGGAGCCCTTAATGACAGCCATGAATCAGTTTACAAATTATCGCTTGTCAATACTGCAAAACATTTCAGTGACAAAGATACATAGTTTTCAAAGATTGTCTTGCTGTTGGTTTTACATTCACTAAAGAGTTAATTTGGTCTAGAAATCAGTAGGTAAAGTTAAAACAAACAAAAAGTCTGTAAATGCTGTCTTAAATGGGTTTCAAACAAGGAAAAAGACAAATCAAGGTTAAGCTTTCCAAAGTGTTAAAAAAAGTAAGATTAAAGTTAAACTCACCAAGAATGGATGGTTCTAACCCATAGTCGAAAATAGTTCCTCTGGCACCATACGCCGTGAAATCCAACCCAGCGAAGCCAGCAGGGTAAGCACTAGGAACTGAAACATTATACAAAAACAGTTAATTTAGCGTTCAATGAGCTCCAATTACACCTGTAGTGCCCCAATTCAAGTAAGGTCCCCCTTTCAACGAGTGACACCTCCCTTAAATGTAATATTCAAAGACAGCACTGCTGAACTTCCATTAAGTGGTCAATTAACGGCGGTTGACTGCTCAATTTATTGTTTTCACTGCGAGCATAATGAACAATGTTACCTCCACAATTTTACATAATTATTATTTCAAAGCCCTCTATGGCATGGCACCTCGTTACATCATTGATTTAATTCATACTAAGACTAATACGCGCTATTTGCTGCGCTCTAATGAAGGTGTTTTATTAAAGCATCCATCAGAGAAAATGAAAAAGTCATTTGGTAACAGATCCTTCGGTCTGGTTGCGCCCACTTTATGGGATGTTCTTCCTGTTAGCCTCCGTAGCATCAAATGTATTTCTACTTATAAGTCTAATCTTAAACCTTTTCTTTTAAATTGGCTTTAATATCTCTCAGATATTAATTATATTTGTATATTTCTATTATTTGTATAGTTTTTAGGTTATTTATTGTTGTAATGCACTTTTGATCACCTAGCATGTTGAAAGCGAACTATAAATGACTAAATTATTATTATTATTATTATTATTATTATTATTATTATTATTATTATTATTATTATTATTATTATTATTATTATTATTATTATTATTTCCAATTTCTCCTGGGTATTACAGTTGTCCCAAGAGAAACCAAAGACAATGGTGATGCAAAATTCTGGGGTGTAAACAAGGTGCACTATGGTCTTGGTGAAAATGGTCAACAGAATATCTTTGCATACTATTAGCATTAAAAATTAAGCAGAAACATCACTTTATTTTGAAACAAACACAAGATGGACCATGCTGCTTAACTGGTCCAGAATCAGTGGCCACCAATCTCAAGCTGTGTTTTCCTCCATCACATTTTAAAGATAAAGCCAAAGCCAAACTAAGTGCATGATATATAAATAAAGACAGTATTGAATGTGACATAGGTAAGGATGATGACTGAGTTTCTTCTACATGATATCATCCACACTGTCACCGGGCTATCAAAGTATCACTGAAAGAAACTGCTTGCCTTTGCAAGTCTCAGACATGGGTCTGGTGCAATCCTATAATCTTGTGCACCTGAATTTAAACTTAACAGTTAATTCTTGTCGGTTTGAACTTTATCGGGACCCAATCAACCTGATTCAACTTGACAACTGACCTGGAGATGAATTTGTGCAGACTGCATCCAAGTTCAGAAACAGAGAAAGAAAAATTTTGTCATGGAGTATTTAAGTCCCCCATAAAGTGTCGCATAAGGAAAATTCATATACATGTAGTATTCATGCGGTAACAGCAAAGAAATGTACCAAAAGGGTGTGATACATGTTTTATAGTTGTTTTGGATCACAGCTATTTTATCTTCCAATGTAAAATGGTTAAGGTACTTTGAAGAACTAACACCATGAGATGTGAACCCTGAAATTATGAGCCTTACCTGCAGGTCGAGGGGCGAATGAATATCCAGCTAATGCAGGTGTAATAGGCATTCCCAGGAGACCATTATGTAGAACTGCAGCACCACCTAAGGGAAAAAAAGATAAAGCTGTCAAGGGAAAAACCTCACAGCAACTTTAAAACCTTGCACAAAAACCGTATCTTTCCTAATCTATAGTCTGCACCACAGACAAAACTAAACCTCTGGTTAAATCCATCTGTGAAACAGCTCCAAAATCCCTGTCCTGCCTAATCATTTCTTGGAATGATGGATGTTGACTGTGACGCTGTTGCTAAGTCACAGCGTTGCCAAAATAATATAACAAATTGAAGTGTGCACAATCCCACAGAAAGCAAAGCTGTGATTATAGTGAATAATGAAAGAGAAACCTTCTCCTGCTTGACACATCTCAGCTGATGCAGATGCTTGTCAGCGCTGATACGTATCCTCATCCAACTGACACATACATGTACATGCATCTGCTTCACGTCTGCCATGTTTGCTTAGTTCACTGTACTTTTACATGTATCATAGGGAAATCAACAAATACAAACTCTAACCTGCTTGTTCTCTAAGGGTTCCATTCATCAAAGCCAAATCTTTCAGTTGTTTCTTTTTTAATTCATCTTCACCTTCATCCTAGGATAACAAAAACAGCGACAAATAAAGAGCGGGTCAGGAAGTAGATTGTGCTTTTTTTCTGGCCCTTTAGGACACTTAAAAGAGCTGTGTCACGAAATTCAGCCAAATTAGGAAACTACAAAATGCCCATTAAATTAAGATAAAAATTAAAAAACCACTTAAAACCTTAAAGGAAGGTTAAAATAACATATAACAGAAACAACAGATGTCACGGATGAGCAAAACGGATTGAAATTACGATTTTGAAAACTGTTCAGCCTAAAAGTTTTTCAAAGTTGATCCCTGCTGCTTGCAACTTCAAAAATAATGCTCAGGAGACATATTTGTGTGTCTCGGATCTCTGATTTTGTCATTTACATGTAATTTCTTTGCTTACTTTAAGTTCCATAGCGATTGAGGACGCGTAATTGGCAAAATTGAACAAAATGAACTGGACTGCCGTGACACAGCCTCTTTAAGGACAATGCAAATCTAAAAATGGGCAACACTGTGTTGTACTAACTGGATTGCATTTCTTTTTGCTTTCTACATTAATATTTGTCACTCCAATTTGCACTTTAGCCCTTATAGTCCCAATATCCACATACAAATTCTCCACACTGATATTCATACATTTCCTTAGAGATAAGTTGAGAGAGTTTAATAAAAGATCAAAGCATTTTCTCTTTGGAGATCATTTGATTAATTCTCATAACCATTTCTCTTGACAACGTATGGACATTGTTAGGAGAAAATTGATGTTGGTCAAGAAGACTAGGGTGTAAAGGCATCTGTGTACGATTCCCTTCCCCAAAAGAAGATCGTGAAGTTCTCTAGTGTAGCTATTATTTTGACACCTTTACATAAATGTAGATGTATGGGTGTGAACACAAATTAAGCCAGGACTGGTTTTTACAAATACAAGAAAAGTGCAGTACCCGATGGCTGTCAAGTTCCTGCAGTATTATTTTAATCAACAGCAAGTATTCATTACTTCTCTCTTAACTTCTCTCCGGATAAGCCAGCGAATGGATATGCCCATCTCAATTTTGAGTTTGAAGATATCCTCCGGTGTGACAATTCAATGGACCTCTTTCATAGTACCCTCAGAGAGTTCTGTGTTTTTCAGTACCATAGAGAGTTAGAACCAAAGAGACAAAAAGAAAATTTATCATCTTACCACAGGTTGAAGAAGATCCTTAACTTTCTCCACAGCTTTTGACAGCCTTAACTTAGCTCTATCCTCTGTATCATCCACTGATATCAACACATGCAGATCTTCTTCTAAGTGTTCATAGTTTGGTTGGCCTTTCTTTTCTTCTTCCTGCAAAACAACGGCAAAGGATATGTGGAAATTGTTATGGACACAGTGGTACCTGCCCTGAAAATGCTGCATAATTTAAGTTTTCTTAATGCACCACCACCTGGGTAGCTCAGTTGGATAGGTGCCAGTCTTTCAAGCGGGAGGCCACTGGTTCAAACCCCGGCAGGACCAACATAGCCTCAGGGTATTTTAAATGACTGAGGAGAAAGTGCTGCCTACAAAAATTAATGGTTAGACGTTCTAGTCTTCTTGGATAAGGAGAGTCCTTGGCCTCATCCCACAATCCTTGCACATGTAAATCCTGTACGGGACATTAACAAACTCACACAGTTATCGCTGTGGTGGTCTACACTGTAACTCTTGTGGGGCAGGGTGCAAAGAAAGTCATTTTTAAAGCTTTCCATTTGGGCAAGCTGAAGCTAGCATATACTAGCCCAAACATCATTTCAACTAGCCCCCAAAACATTTTGATGAGCAGAATTGATTTCACAGTTCTTTGCAATTTGAATTCCTCAAAAAAACTTCACTTGCCTGTCCGGCAAGTTACAAACAGAACTCACTAGCCCAATAGCAAAATCCACTAGCCCCAGGCTATCAGACACTAATTTCTTTGCACACTGTCAAGGAGGCAGAGACTGTTACCAGCCCAAAGTAATAAAACAGTGGTGCTATGCGCTGTTGCAGTGACCCTCCAAGAATTGGCGTAAGTATTACCCAATCAGAAGGCCTGACTATTATCGTACTAAAATACTAACTTAATGCTTTTCATCACGATTAAATAATTTACTAACCAATTTTTTGTCCTTCATTGATCCTTTCCCACGAACTAAAAGTTTACAACCTGTCGTCGTTTCTACTTCTCTTAGTGTCATGCCTCTGGGACCAATTACTCTACCAACAAAATTAAACTGAAACAAAATTTCAACAAATTAATGTACATATACATGTCGATGGTAAATTTCTTACAGGCCCATATTCACAGGGTTTGTATTTTTTGCATTCCTTTCTTCACTCGTAAATAACTTAGAGGAGAAGGGAAAGGAAGAGAATTCTGTACGTGGGTGGTTTTGGGTTTTGACTGGATCCTGATTACACAAAGATATTTGCTAACAAGCTTACAAAAAATATGAAGATTGGTTTAATTTAAACAGATACCTCAAAAATAGTGTTACAAGCTCAGCAGTGACAGTAACTGTGCTCACATTGTGGGTGGCTCCCCTTAAAATGTTCTACCATTAATATTGGTACAGGATTTAATGGAGCTGAAACCAATTGAGGAATTGCACACATTTTAGGCATCCTACTGATGAATAGTTACGACTTTTGGATATTAATTTTTGAGCAACAATTTGCCGTCAAACTCAACCTACTTTTGAAATTTGTTGTCTGTCCTCGTTGAATTCATTTTTTTTTCAATTCAATACACCATTGAATAAACTGGTCTTTTCAATTTCACCTTATGGTAATACTGTAGTGACATTTGCGCACTCTGAATCTTGGCAAGCAGATTCTAGCTGATAGTCATTAAGTCACTGAACCATAACTGTAAAGTTAAAACTTTGCCAGTCCCTGCTGGGTCAACCTTTGCAGTCTAATTCAAAATCATTGGTGCTATGCAGATTACAGCTAGCAAATAGTTTTTGATGGACATTCTGCAAGTTATTAATGCTTTCTGTGACAATACTGTAGCTTTGATATCGTCCCCCTCATTTAACTGATCTAATTACGAAGACATCCACCTGAGAGAGTGAGCAGTTGAGTGGCACATATTGAGCCACCACCTACAATTTTTTACTACCTAATCAAATTAGAGACAGCTAAAAAAAACTAAAAACAGTCCACACCAAAGCAAATGACATCCAGTGTCTATTTTTAGCTTTGGCTTAGTGCAAGTCAGTCTGCATGCATCACCGGGTTATTCCAGAAAAAATCCACACCCCCACGACGGAAGGCATGCTCAAAAATCTCATGGGAGGAGGGGTTTACGGCTCTGGAAATCCAGATGGGTGGGGGACTCTAAACCTAAAAATACATCCTCAGGGCTTACCTTCGATTTCATCGATGTTTCGATCACTTCAATCGATAAGTTTTTTAAAAATTGCTTTGCATTTTCAAATTAAATTATTCTTTCAAACTACAGACCTCTTATCACATTTATTTTAAGTTTCCATCCACAGGCTCGCCTTCGTTACTTTTGTAGAAGCGACATGCGATAACTTGACAATATCAAGAAAACTCACATAATTCATAAAAAACTGCTCAATTCAAGTAAAGCAAACAATGATTTTTACCTTGAATTAAACATTTTTTCAAGGTCAATGCTATTTCAGGGTGATTTACCACTAAAGATACCTTACAAGTAAGCATGGTTGTTTGTGATTGTTCGGCAGCCATTTTGAAAGTCAAGTGGTGTGGTTAGCAGTATAGCATGTCATGTAATATTCCACTAAGTGTCCTTTTTCTTTCTTTTGCAGTCATTTTTTATCAACAAAGAAGAGAACCATTTATTTGAGTACATAGTTAGTTTTGAGCTTTATTGTAGTATATATTGCTGTATATTTTGCCTGGTCTAGAAAAAAAGAGAAGTTCACTCAAATGTGAGCTTACTTGCAAAAAGTGTAAGCCTGTTTAAGAAGATGAGAAAATGTAATCTTAACTTTTGCAACAAACACAGAATTCACGGAAAATACAGACTCATTTAATAAAAAGATCATCTAAGTGCCTAAAATAATTCTTCTATATTACTTGTATACTATTGTTGGTGCGGTTATAACATTGGTACATAAATATGCAATAGTACCTTAGGATACTCTTTTACTGGAGCATAAACTTTTTCTGCCAATTTCACTCTTGGTCCTGATGCCGTTGGAAGCTGAAGTTCTGTGAAGCCGCTGTCTGGTTCATTCTTTACAACCCCATGAAACAGCTCATTTCTGACTCTGTTGATTTCTAGTAAAGATGAAAATTGATTTAGAGATGTCATGGTTTAAGAAGCCTACAGGCATTTTCATCAACATGGCATCCATTAATTTATTGGCCTTCTCAGCATTTGCTTATTGTCAAAAGAACTAATATTAATATATCATGTTCACTTTCATAATATAATTTTGTAACATTGATGCTATGCTCAACATTAGAAAGCCTTGAGAATTAAAAGTTCTACAATATTTTTTTTTCAATTTTGTTGTATAATTATCTCAATATTGAGATTTTACAAGATTACCTTCAACAACATTTTCCATCTTTTATTAAGGAGCCGGATTGTCACTTTTGGGTAGCTTGATATTTTTCTTATTACAGAAGAGGATTTTGTCATGCAAGAACTATTTTTAAGAATATCACGGCAATGAATACACAGCCGGCTCCACGACACCAACATTTTCACCAACAAAATTTTGATATGCTAGTGTTTCAGCAATTCAGCCACATTTCCTCTGAGCTTAAGCCACAAAAAAGACACAACACTGAAAATGAACCTGAAATCAGGTTACAGCTACTTGCTACCATATACCCAAAAGGAAATTCAAGTATTTAAAAACTATCAAACAACAGGAGGAAATAAAATAATACTTCATTCTCTTTTCCCTGTAATTGAATGTCAGACGTGAATAGAGTATTGCTGGGATGCTGGTGAGCCATTCCCCAAAATTTTATATCCATGGACAAACAAATAACACAGAACATATAAGAATAACAAAAATACTTCTGTATTAGATTTGAAAATGTATGTTGTGGTTCAATTTTATTCTTGGCATTAACTTTATTTTCCTTTGTTTCAAACTCATTATCATACTCTACCATACCCAGAAACAGAGGAAAATACAAATGTCAACCAAGGATAAAAGTGAACTACAAGACATATAATTATTTTATTTCAATAGTTTCTGCACAGCAGGATGATTTGCAACTTTTATCTCCATAATGCATATGCCATTAAAAATAGATTTGTGTAAGAAAAACCTAACCTTAAATCCTTTTGGTGCCCGAGGTCACCCTGGTAACTGGAAATGTGTGGGAGGCAGCCTTTAAAGGACAGGTTTTGCAGAGGAAGGTGTAAAAATAATCTGGTACTAGTGCTACCAGAAGGATTAGGATATAGGTTTCAAAAAATATTTGACTGATGTAAAGGGATACAAATACATTTTTTAAATAATAAATATTGTATTCACTGAAATTTTTCCCAATAGCCATGCAGTTTTACTATAATTCTTAATTTATTGCAAGGACGTATTTATAGTGTATTTTGGTTCTCATTTCAAAACCTTGTAGCAAGCATTTTGAAAGACAATGGCATTGACTCACATCAAATTGAAAAAATTCCTTTGGAAATGGGTTCCAAAAAATTAATGAATTTAAAAATCCTTATAACATATTTTGTATATATACTGCTCAATGATCAAGCAGCCTTTCTTGTACCTTACATAAAAGCCAAATTATTACCACTACGGTAAGTTCAACATGTACATGTTAATTCCATTTCCTCAGATTAATATATATGCAAATGAGGGACTTCAGTTAAATTCTTCAGTCCCACAACTTAAAATACAGCCTTTCAAAATTAATACAGTAACTATGTACTATTTCAGAAGGAATAAAAAATTGTTGGTTGAGTGAATTGTTGCTTCTTGGGAGTTGGACACAATGTTAAAAGTTTTGAAGAGGAACTAAATTACATTTACAACCTCATCAGATGAGGGTTCTTTTTTACTTACTGCAGATGGCAGGAGCTGGCAAAAGGAATCAAAACCTTAGAGAATTAAGACTGAGCCAGGATGCTGTTTACATCAAACATGGACTTTATTTGGAGAAGCAAAACAAAATTGAATTTCAAAAATATTGGCTTCATTTATTACAAAGAAATCAAATTACCCTGAGAATTCAGAGACAGGTCGAATGATTTAGCTGTTGAGGGCCAAAAATAAATAAACACTTGGATATTTGTTGGCAGTAAGCAGAAGGGCAGGAAAAGAAGTTGTCAAATCTCATCTGTTTTCCTGGAACTTGTTTTGACAGATTGATATGAGACATGTCAGATCCTTTTTCTGTGACTGAGAGCAATGTGACACAAATATCCTGTGCTAGCCTGCACAGATCAATTTCTTCTCAATTTCAAAGTCCACTTAATCACAAGGAGGAACCCACAACAAATTAAAACGCCTCACCACAAATTCAATATCTTTGCCTGTGGATCTGTGGTCAGACAGCCGATTTCTAAATTATACTTTCGGTTCATCGGTGACCCGATCTGTTTGGCTAAATAACGACACGTTAATAAGAGCATCTGGCTCTTATCAAGAAAAAAACGATAATCATCCCACATTCCTATAAGTGAATTCCTTACAAGTTATCAAATCGTTGAACAAATTGGATACGAAATTAAAGGAAGGCCTCATTTACGAATATGTTAGCTTTGATCCAAAGCACTCAATTATGACTTGATAATTCCCGATCGTTTGATTTCTCCGTTGGGACACTCAGTGATGAATAATTCCGGACTCAATCAGGTCAAATTCTCACCGTGATTTTCAAAGAAATGAGTTCAAAGGAGATTGAATTACAAGCGTGACGATTCTACTTCATCAGGAACATGTAATTTCACGGACCGTCAAGCGTTTCAAGCACTGAAACGCGGTTAACAAAAGACTTTCCAGGTTTAAATCAAATGTTTTGATTTTGTTTACATCCAAGAACAAAAACAAAACGAAGTCGGCGACGAAAAGTAACAACCGTGAAATTTACAGCAAGTATCTTCACAAGTAGGCTAAGGTTGAACGAAGCTAAGAGATCCATTTCAGGGGATTGCACTGCCCTCTTATTTAGTTTAAGCTCAGTAAATGCACTAGGATTTATTGTCATCACAGAACTAAACAATGACAACAAAAGTATTTCAAAACTGCGTTGCATAACGGCTTTCCACAAGGCGGATAAAATATTCAAATGTCCCACTGAGTCAAAAGAAATCTTGTTCAATAGAATTGAACGCGGGGCAATGAAACAGAAAATCACAACAAAACACTCATAATGCTTACAACAGAAATAACCCAAATAGCCCATTTAAACATTGAAGTCTAGGATACATATATATATTCCCAAAGAATCTTTTAAACGATACCATATGAATCACAAGGAAACGAATAGCAATGAGGAAGACATTTATAACAAAAAACGCGCTGGCAACAGCGTTGATCGGGGCAATGCTCTTTTCTATGATCTATGCGATGCAAAGAAAAAAAATAGATAACAGAGTATAAGCAAATGTCATATACATAAAACAAACCTCAAGATGATTTCTTGTAATCCCTGGTGTCTCACAGATGCTAAACTAAAATAAAATCGCTGTACCGTAAACACAGGACATGGTGTCCGGATGTCGGTCAAACAAATAGAAGGTTCGTCCACGTTAGCTCGCACTGTCGTTCGATTACGGGTTTTTTGCTGACAGATTTTAAGCTTAACTCGTGTTAGAACAAACTCAACCTCTGAAAATAATTAGATATTACCTAGCATAGTTATATTTCTCTCTGCTGGTGATTATTTATGTTCATTTACCGATTATTATTTAACATAAACTGCCGTTATTATTACATTAAATTTGGAGTTAACGCGCAGCAACAAACACACAGTACCTTGATCCAGCAGCCGTTCGGCGTGAAGAAAAATCTTGGGCATTTTCGATACTGTTGTTTTGTCGCTCAGTAGTTCGTTAAGGTATTCAGAAGAGGCGACAGAACAAGACATTGTTGCTGTTATGGGTTAGTAGAACGTAAAAAGAAACATGTAATAAAAGCAATAGGCACCACGATGCGTCCTTCTACGACTGATCAGGTCTTGTGATGATCGACATGTGCAACCAACAGGAGCTCGTTCAGGGGACTGAGACGAGACACCCGACCATTGAGGCGAGTCCATTGAGCCTGTGTTGTATTTATACTGCGGTAACCCATCATAATTCAAGATGGCGGCGGCATCAAGCTCTTCAACCGATGAAGTCGACGAGTTATTTTCGCGGTTTATGTCCGAGGTACTAGCAATTTATTCTGTCTTACTTCATTTTAATAATTAGTGCTTTTTGTCGGACTTTTTTGGAACTTGCGTGCGTTCCGTAATAGCTTACTTAATGCTGCTTTTAAAATTTTCAAAAAGCTTATTAAAGCTAATTTGCAATCAGTTAAGCTGAAGCTTGCATGTTTTTTTTTTTGTAAAAGATTTATCACATGTATAAGCTAAGTTTCTTTTTAGAATCAGGGATCCGGAACTGTGATTTTTTTTTTGTTTTAAATCAGCGGTATGCCTGTGTAAAACAGCTTTCAGTGTTTTTAGTCTTCAAAGGAAGCTGTGCTGCCGGGAGTAATTAGGCTTATAATTAAATGAATACGTAAATTAAAATTCTCTGTTTTTTTAAAACGACCATAATGTAATGATGTAATGCCACACAATAAGGTTTTGATAATCAGAGATATGAGTTGTGTGAACCTCGCACTATTTGCACAGTCATGATACTTTAAGTGTTGTCCAGAACTTTTTTATAAGATTCTTTTAATGCACTCAGAATATCTAGCTAGCTATTTTGTACAATTCTTGTTTTCACATAAATCCTTATATATAAATAGTTTTTAACAAAAGGAATGTAAGATCATTAGTTTTGATAACCTGCAAAACTTCTCATAGTTATTTACGTTGAGGGTACAAGATGTGCATCATGTATTGATAGCATCTTTCATACGTAGCAAAGTGTAACATTTAAGTTTATGGGATTATTTATATCGAAATAGACCTTATTCCTAACTGGTGGCAAATGCGACCATAGTAACTGTAGACTACGAGTAATGCCCATTTTTCTCAGGGGTAGATGAGTGACCGAAACGCGAATGCGTGTGAAAATCACTGCACATGAGAAAGGGGAGACGCGGCGGTGAGAGAGAAAAATGAGGGACTGCAGACAAAGCCCAAGCTTTTGACCTTATGCGTTGCTCTCACAACGCAAAACTCTTATTGGCTCTTCCATGCAAGTCTGTCAACATCTATCAAAAATGTGCCAGCCACTATCAACACTCGACATAATCACATTTACAGAACAAGAATAACTAGAGCAGAAATAATAACTGCACAGAACAAATAACTACAGTTGCTCTTGTAGAAGCAACTAAGCAGAAAGCCAACCCGGCAACTGATGAGGTTCACACAGAGAATCGAAACCATGGTCTTGCCTGATCACAAAGTGGCAATAACAGAACAGTCGCAAGGCTGTTAAGCTTATCAGGGTGTAAAGGAAATCATTTTTACAGCTTGCCATTCGGGCAATCATGACTGAGTCACATCGCAATTCCCCATAGTTAATGTAGCTTCAGTTTAAGCTGCAGTCAGTTCTTTGAGATTTGGATCTGTAAATTACTATCCGTGAGAATTTAACATCCTGCTAAAAAGGCATGACAAAACATTACAGGAAATACTTACTATCAAGTTCTTCGTGCAAAACAGCCTCGAAGAAAATTAGTATATGGGTTTTCTTTTACTTGCAATAAATATCCCCCACAGTTTACCAATGACAAGAGCAATGACAGCTCAATGAGAGAAGGAATCCCATTGGATGCGCTTAATTGATGTGAAAGGGGATACGAACTTCACACTCCAAAATCAGTCGGCCGTGGAGGGTCAAAAGCTTGGGAATGATGAGTATATCGATAATTTACTTACGATAATATCAATAATTTGCTATTTCTTTCTTTTTCTGACATTTAGGTCAAAGAAATTGAGAAAAGGGATTCAGTACTCACCGGTCCTCAGCAGATAGACAGACTTACAAGGCCTGGTTCGACTTACTTCAATCTTAATCCTTATGAGGTCAGAAAAACTGTAAAATCTGTCTTTTAAGGAGGGATAAAAATTCTTTAATTTATTTCCATGTTCCTATGATAAATCTGGGAGGGTAGAAGGATTGGAAGTGGAGTTACTCCTTGAAAATTTGATTGGGGATGTGTTATCTGCATCATAGAACATTAACCGCGATTTCAACCAACATGCATGACATATATTCCATTGCCCATTTCCAACCAAAGCCAAATTGGATACCCTTTCTCAGACGTCTGACAAGACTTCTGTAGTAAGCTACCCTGCCGTTTAAGGCCCCACAGTCTTCCTAGGTAAGTTGACTTACATGTATCTAGGAAGACTGAAGAGTCTCTGCACACTGGGTGGTAGCAAGCAGTAGGATGAATGATCCCAGTAACCAAAGAATTGCTTAGTAATTGCAGCAGTATTTGCAAGTCAGATAATTCTGAACTTGCGTTGCCAATCTTCAGCATCACCATCGTCCTTCTTTGTTTGCCCCCCCCAGAGGGGGCACTATATTTTTATGCCAAACTGCAGCCAAGAGGGCAAGAATTATTTTCCAAGTTGCAGCCTTGTCTTATTTAGTGGGCCCCCAATTACTTAAAGATTTAATTCCACCATTGTTATTACCAGTCTTCCCTATTCTGCAAAGGATGTATTTCTGATATGTATTTTGTGTTTATTTTATATATTTTACTTTACTAGAAGCCAGCATCATAAAATGTTGATCAAATTTAATTCACTGTCCATTCAGTTCAAATCTTGTGAGTCAATTCTGTAGTGGTCAATGCTAGCCTTCTTGGATAGCAAGGCAATTTTTTTTCAGGCCCAACAAATTTTTTTTTGGCTTGCCTCAGGAGCTGGGCTTTTTAAGCCCCTACCGACACACCTATCTGAATCCATTATAGTAGCATGTAAGTATATTTGACTTTACCTCTTGGATTGTTTCCTAAATTTACATAAATTTATTTTTAGGTTCTTCAAATGCCTCCTTTTGCTAAAGAAGAGGAAATAAAAAAGCAGTACCGAAAGGTCAGTCATTAACTTTTAGCACAATATTTTCAATTTTGATAGTGAAGCACATTGTGTGTTAGTTTAACACCCACACTCTTAGAACCTCTCTCCTCTGATTAAGTACTGGTACCTACCCCATATAAAGCCAAACAAGTAAATGAGAACCATCTCTTTGTTTTAAGTTGTAACGCTATCACCCGGAAATTCTTTTTTCTTTTTCCACTACACAGGTATCAACCTTTTTATCCATTTAGGCAGTGCCAGTTTGCCTTTCATGTATGAACTACTTTATGCACTTTATTAGCAAGTTGTTCTTGTAGTTTAATGTGGCATCCAGGTTGATATTCCTTTTTACTTCTCATTTAATCCTTTATGATCTTTGTAATACAGCTGTCATTTCTCGTTCATCCTGACAAGAACCCAGATAACAGAGAGAAAGCTCAAAAGGCATTCGAAGGTGAGCACAATCAAATCTAAGGCACAGTTATGATGCCCAACATTTCAAGATATCGTGTGAAGTAGAGGAAACCCAAGGAGAGTAAATAAACAATGCAAAACAAGGAAATGCGTGCAGAAAATTCCTGGGGCTCCTGTCATAACTTATTAATATTCTGAGCAATTGGTCCCTGGATACACCAGGGGACATTACTGGAATAAGTCTCCTCATGTGATATTACCAGTTGGACAAAACAACAGGGGACATGAAGTTTAACTCATCTGAATTTGACTAGCCTGGGATTAGGCTACGCACTGGGGGAAAAAGGAGAAAAAAATCGGCACGGGCAAAAAAAAAAAGTGGCAAGTGAAGCAAGCCGAGCAGAGGTCTGGGAAGGGGAAAGGCTTGCAAATGGTCCACCGCCCTTTCCCTCTCCCCAGGCCACTGATATAATTTTCCTTTTGCTCCGGTTTTTTCTTTAATCCCCACCGCATAGCCGGGTCCCAGGCTAGAATTTGACTGTGACAAATTGGGAACAAAATGACCAAGTTTTTCAAGGTGTACTCCATTTGATGCAATAATAGATAACTGTGGCATGTTTGCAAGGGTATCTTGGTGTTAATTTTTATTTATCACCATGGTTTTTAAATAGTGTGTCATTACCTGGAAAAATAATGATTTTACACGTGTGTTTATGTTAAACTACATGACTGTTCTTTTAGCTGTCAGCGAGGCCAACCAGACACTTCAAGACCCAGATAAAGTAAAAAAGATCAATGAGATCCTAGAAGAAGCAAGAGCAATGGTCAAGAAATCTGTGAGTTGTTAATTTTGGCAAATTAATTTTACTTCCAATAGGTCACTTTCTCAACTCGAGGGCGTCATTTTATAACAGAACTACGACCATAAACCTTTCGGCTTTTCCTTTCATGTTTAAATTTGGTAATCCTGCGGGCTTTAAATAACAAATTAAAAGCCTTTATTTGCACAAATAAAGAAAACCCAGAAGTGCTCTGGTTGTAGTAGATAAATGACGCCATCATGCAAATGGCCTGTTACATGTTCAACAGTTCTCTGAGAGACTTTTCTTTTCTCTGTTTGGTAATAAAACCAAAAGGCTAGCTCATTGACTGATTGCATGCTTCAGAGTTTTTTCTTTTCCCAAGGCATAAATTACTTGAAAACCGGTGAAATGTCATTGCAAAGAAAGTTTGAGGACAAGTTTTAGATTTAATTTCATTAGAAGATTCTAGGGGACTTTCTTTCTTAAAACTGAAATGTTCAGGAGACCTTTTTTTAACAATAATCGCAATATTTTGGTAATAGAAAAGAAAAACAACCTCCGAAAATCGTAAGTATTGGTTAGCTAATGTAGTCGAAAAACTCCAAACATCTTAGATGATGCAACGGTTATCGGGAAACTAAAATTTATACGCCTTCTGTAGACAATATTCACTTCTTCGAACAGTTATTTTACAGAAAAAAATTGTCTAGTGCTCCTGACTACTGCAAAGTGATTTTTGCAAACGCTATTTTTTTATTTATTTATTATTTATTTACTCCTTTTACATGAGTTGTGCCACAGTTTTAACAGGTGCAATACTTTAGCCCAGTTTTCTTGTTGTATTCCTCATTTTCAGCTCAAGGAGAAGAAGAAACAAGCAAAGAAAGAGGGAAAAGATAAAATAGAAGAAGAGGAAGATCCAGAAAAGGTATTGTACCAGGAAATTATGGCCGGAGAAAAACTATTAGTTGTGCTCATTATCATGTGTACTGCCATTCAAACACTCTAATAGGTGAAAAAATGTTTTGTAAAAAACTATATGAGGTCTGATGTTTCTTTTTCCGTGAACTGCTGGACAGTTAAATAACATTTTGAAGCGACTAATGCAATTTCAGCCTCTTTCTAGACATATTGGTGGAAAAATGCTTGAAGCAAAATTTTAACATGTAAAAGGTCATGGCAGTGAGTCCAAAGCGTGTTATGTTGACCTTGGGCATATGTTGTTTCTCTCTACGAGATTACCTTATTCTCTGGGTTCGTTTCGCGATTTACGATTTCGTGATTGATTTATAAATCGAACAGAGGATTTTATGCAATCTTTGATCCATCAGCATTCCTCTATTTAAAAGCTTAAGAAGTTCTTTATACAGCTGTATGTAATGTGTTTATCCCCAAGAACAAACCGAACAGCTCTTTCATTTACTTTTTGTAGTTTTTCAGCCGAACCTTTATTGCAGAAGTGACATATTATTCAAAATTACAAAGTTGCACATTACATTTGAACAGTCTACAAAATGAAATCTTAGGGTGGGTGGGTGGGAAGGTAAGTAATGGCGGACGCAGCAAAAGCAACTGCCCGCCTTTCGGTCACATGACCTGTATCCAGGCCCCAAGTGGAGTGTGAGAAAAACATTTCCCACTTATTTTGTTACGCTCAGCCAGTGGAAAATTACTCTTATCTACGTGTGATAAGTCAGAGTCTTCATAGTCGTCGTCGTCCTCTAATGTAAAGGCCTCTCTAATGTTTGATTTTGCAGTTATCGAAATTAGTCCACTCCACGACTGTTAAGCTTTTCGCTGATTACGAAATTAAAAGAAGAGCACAGGAAGAAAAGGACGCAGAATTGAGGTGAGCTGATCTGCGTGCTACACTGTTCGAGACTGCAGAAAAATGAAACTAAAACAACAAAACTGCAAAGAAAACAGGAATTTGATTTTTTTTTCTTGGGCGGGGGAGGTTCAAGTCGCTTTTGTCTTCGCTGCTGTTGTCTCAGTGGAAAAAGAAAAATCTAGATGTCGTCGTAATCATAAAAGTTCCCGAAGAATAAACAAGCAAGCGCAAAAAAAGACGTGAAGACTGGGCAGAAGGGAGAGAACGATTAGGACTTGATGGCATGTCGTATTGACATGAGGATAAATCCAAATACCGTAAATCCTCTATTAAGCCCCCACCCCCCATCTCACATAAGACCCCTCCCTCTAATAAACCCCCCTTTTCAGTATAAGAAAATAATAAGCCCCCCCCCCTCCCCACCCCTAATTATTCTTTACTAATAAGAGATACTGTATTAATCAATCACGACTGTAAAACTGCGTGTGGGTTGATCCGGGATGGTTTATTTACCAACTGGAAGTTCGGACTTGATGCTGATCCTCGGATGCATGACCTCCGACTTTCTTGTAATTGAGCTTTTCCACTTTGTATTCTAGTTCTCTACGGAGAACTGATACCATCGTCTTTTCTAAATTAAATAAGCCCCCCTCTGATATTAGCCCCCTGTCTGTATTAACCCCACCTCCCTCAAATGGGCTTGAAATAAATAAGCCCCCGGCGGACTTGTGAGAGGCTTTACGGACGTATGTCAAAAGTAGGCATCATTTTAATGTCCACGTAAATAGAGGCTCTCTCCCGACGTTAGCGCTCGCCGGTCTCCACTGACTGAGAACCCGAACCAGACAACCCGCTTTTTCACTATTTTGATAATAGTATAAGTCTCAGGAAATTCCCCGAACACAGCTGTCGTCCCAAGCAGTAAACGTTTTGAGCCGAATCATTAGGTACCTTGTATTGCAGTATACGTAACTGCGGTTCAGTCCTCACTAAGCCGGATTTCCTCCCCAGACTGAAAAGTTTTACATGTATATTCATCACGCAACATACTAAGTAGGAGGATAGGAAACAGCAGACTCAGTTAAAATTTCTAGCTTAACAGAAGTCTTCAGTGATACCCTTATCCCCCCTGCCCTTCCCGACGTTTTAGCAGAAGCTTTCTTAAGACAACCTCGTTCTTAGGGTTCTCACTAGATTTTCTCAAAGTCTTTCGCTTCTCGTTTCCGGTTCCGGTAGTTGCCCCCAGCGCGAACCTATGGCTCTCTCGCTCGCTTTTAATGCAGAAAACATAAAAAATCTACCGCTCGCGCTTCGCGCTGGTGAAAAAATTTGAGCTCGACTTCTAGGCAAGTCTAGGTTCTCTCTCTCTCTCGCTCCGTGGGACAGGTAAGAGAGAAACGAGGAGAAACCTAGGAACGAGGTTGCTTAACTGCAGCTTACGCGTGCATTCATTGGCGAATCTAAGAGCACTAATCATAGGTTGCCACAGGTCAGGAAATGGTCAGGAAAAATAAAATTTCTTCAACTTCAGGGAAAAGTCAGGGAATTTCACTTCGAGTCAGGGAAAATTTAATTCATGTACTTTGCATCATCTGTTGCTTGTAACTTGCTGAAAGCATAAATAAATGGGTGGAGGGGATGGCTGTGAGGGGGGCCTTGGGTCCGTTATCAGGACTAATTTGTGAAATTTATTGTTAATTCAGTTGGTCAGGGAAATTTGACATTTGTCAGAAAAAAGTCAGGGAAAAATCACGGAATTTCAGAAACCTCTGGGTGTGACAACCATGATAATGAACAGTGAGTAGTTGATCTCTTTTTTTCCAGAAAACGACAACGTGAACAGGAGATAGCTGAAGAAGAGGCAGCAAAAAAGAAAAAAGAATGGGAAAAGGAATGGGAGGTGAGATTTTTCTTTAAATAATCCAGTTCAATCGCAAGGCTGGCACTGAGACTGTGGATCGAGTAAACGACAGTAGTAAAAGTGTTCTACTAACCGTTATATAAATAGAGCAATATTTTAAATCTTTATTTTTATTCGTTTTTTATCTATTTATTTCTTTATTTTTACTGCAGCCCATGATTCCTCACGCTTTATTAAATTATCAAAAATTGACGCGAGTGCGTAAAGAATCTAAGCGAAAGGACAACAGTTCTTTTGGTTTGTCCTTTGACAAAACGCGAAGGCGAAATAACAACAAATCTGTTACTTTGAGACTAGTTCCACTAGCTTTTGAAACCACAAATAAAAAAGCGATGCGGTAAGTCTACATACTTAACAGCTGGGAAGAGATCTTTCAGTTCATCCGTTCGTCTGATCTTTCAAGAAAATCCGGTTTCTTTATTGAAGGTATTGTGACTTGAACTTGTTTGTGGCTTCTTGTTCTTCGTCAACCCATAAAACGACCGGTGAACTCTGCAGTGCTCCCCAATCATTCCGTGTTTCAGTCGAATCCAGAATTCACAAACACGAATGTCCGCAATTTCCCTGGTACACAATAGTTTAGGGCATATTTTGCTTGCACAACAGGCAGAACTAGCACTACCACTCATAGCGCATTAAAATGTCAGCCGTCTCTTCGCCCCTCGCCCCACCCGTTTGGTGGTGGTGGTGGTGGTGGTGGGGCGGGGGAGCTAGGGGTTGGGGTGAAGAGACTACGCCCTTGCGAGGAATGAGCGCTTTCAACTTCCAGCGGTCTGTCAGGTCTGGCGGATGATTCAAACATGCCGTCAGATGCTGCAGCCATATTTTGGCCGCATGCAAAGCACAAGGCGTGTGAGATGTTGTATAAGCCCCAGCTGTAGCACGACCACGGAACAGATAATCTATATTGAGCTGCTAACATTCGCCCGGTTGACTGTGAAACCGTGTTAGGAGAAAAATGTAGATTTGGTTATAAAGATATTTAATGGCACGTGGACTACAAAATTATAAAAATAGGATTTCAACGTTTCGAATAAGTTTTTCGGATTTAAGCCTGTACAAACGTGATAACAGGGAATGTTTACTCTAATTGTATACTGGAACAGTGTACCCTAGGAATTTTCTGTATGCATATTTTATGTACCTTCGAAATTGCATTTCAAGAAATAATTATACAACTCAGTCACTGAACAACTGGTCCTTTCTCCTGTTCAAATACCAACCGTTCGTAATTTTTAGTTTTGACATTTTGAGAGATCCTGATCAAAGGAAACCCGAATTCTTTTAAACAGCTTTCTTTGTAAGTTTCCAAAATTCACTTGCTTGACTAACATTTAATTTTGAGTCATTTAGTTTAACATGTGAACTTTAAAGCTGAATTTATCCAAATTTGTTTTCAGTGTTCAGCTGAGTTTACTCAGCCTTTTTTCCATTTGTGTTGTGATGTTGTAATAATTTGATCAGTTAGTATAGATGCACATACATATGTATGTATTGTTTACGTCCACGAGTTGAAGATTTAACTGTTGAAGTCCAAGCTTGGGTGCTGTCCTGTTTCCAGTTGTAGCAGATCTTAGTACCTTGGAATAGTGACGAGTTCCAGTTTTGCTAGCCAAGCGAGTTGCATCGTTAGTTTCCCCCCTTGTTGTTCACACGCCGAAGTCTTGAATTCCCTTTACGCTTATTTTCCCCGATTTGTGCTTGGAAGGGCAAAACCTATCGTCACAACCGCCATATAACTCTAAGGGGGGTGTTTTACAGTAAACACTTGCGTATAAGAACCTACATTTTTTGAGGTCTGGTGAAAAAGGCCCTTTTATTAAAGTTTTCGTGTATATTTATCACGCAACATACTACGTAGGGGGATAGGAGAAAGCAGACTGTCAATTAAAATTTCTGGCTTAACAGAACTTACCCTTATTCCCCCTCCCCTTATTAGGTTCTTAATTAGCTTCTTAATTTCTATGAAAGAGGGATATAGTTGTTGACTGCGAGAAATATAAAGAAACTTTAGTTTGGTCCTTAAATATGTAGTATTAATTCACAACTGTACTTTGCAAACCTCCTTTATGCAAGGTCCATGAAAACAATTACAATCTGTGCTTTTTATAAACCTGTGGTGTTTTGGTTGTTAGACTACTAGTAGTCTCTTTTTCCTCAGGAATAGTAAAGCGAGCGAAACGCGAGCGCGCGTGAAAATCGCCCCACGCGAGAAAAGCAAGACTCATCGGGGAGAGAGAAAATTTCCCCGCCGCGTCTCGCTTTTCTCGCGTGGGGTGATTTTTACGCGCGCTCGGGTTTCGCTACTCGTAGTCTATTTCGTTGTAGGAATTACAATAATACTTCTATTGTAATTACGGTTTGGTACAGTGTTTTACTTAACTCCTTGGTTAACATGTTTACCATAATGTACCTGTAACCCACATTTGAGAACCTGCTTGATTTTGCTTGGGTAAACAGGTGCTTACAGTTTTTTGGTATTAAAGTGCCAAATTTCTGCTAGCAGGTTTTTAAACCACTAGTTCTTATTAGCAGGTGTTTACTGTATTGGTTCCTTTCCATATATTTTACTATTATTGCGGAACTGAGATGAATGTCGTGTGGATCTTGTAGAGAATCGCTATATAGGCGGTTTCCTTTTTGTAAACTAGGTTCTTTGCGCTCTACCGCAAANTCGGGTTTCGCTACTCGTAGTCTATTTCGTTGTAGGAATTACAATAATACTTCTATTGTAATTACGGTTTGGTACAGTGTTTTACTTAACTCCTTGGTTAACATGTTTACCATAATGTACCTGTAACCCACATTTGAGAACCTGCTTGATTTTGCTTGGGTAAACAGGTGCTTACATTTTTTGGTATTAAAGTGCCAAATTTCTGCTAGCAGGTTTTTAAACCACTAGTTCTTATTAGCAGGTGTTTACTGTATTGGTTCCTTTCCATATATTTTACTATTATTACGGAACTGAGATGAATGTCGTGTGGATCTTGTAGAGAATCGCTATATAGGCGGTTTCCTTTTTGTAAACTAGGTTCTTTACGCTCTACCGCAAAAATATGGGATGAGCTTGTACCTCTCCCTAAAACTAAGTGCACCATAGCCTTTTACAAACCTTTTAGTAGCAAAGGTGGGTCTCTTGTAAGCAGTGGGGAGTAAGCCCTGGATTCGGGTGGAAGGGATGCAAGGGGCACCCAGTCCCGGTCCCAGTCCCCAGAGAGTAGAATAGGGCGCACCGGTTAGACCCCTTTTCGAGGAGAAATCTCATTAATTTGCGGAGGAATGTATTAACGCCGATGACGTCATAGCCCGTTGCCTTTATGTCAGGAATAAATTACGGGCAACTTCGTTAAGATAAGATGATGTGTTACTTTTGAGGTGGGTTAACCGGTTTGACAGGTTTAAGATGGATGATGTCATAGCCTCTTGCCTAGTTTTAGGTGGTTCAACTGTTGCTCTCTATCACAATACTCCCGAGTCAGTCAAGAACTTACTCGAGGTGCCCATAGATGCCCCCACTGACTTTTGAGCCCTGTTTAACTGGGAAGCACTGATGTTTTTGTTTTGTTTTTTTAATCAAAAGGAGAGTCGAACCAACCGTGTCGATAGCTGGCGATCGTTCCAAGCAGGAGGGAAAAAGAAGAAGAAAGAAAAGAAAGGTCGCACGGCATTTAAACCGCCTGCTCTTAGGCCAGAGAAACGCTAAGGAGACCTGCCAGTTACCGTACCTGTCACGACACTATGTGGACACCACTACCCTGGCTGCGCGTGACAAAGTGAAACTATACTGGAATGATCATTTTCTATCGCGGCGTGACATGTCCTGAGCATCGCGTGACGACTCTAGAAAACCTGGCCGCAGAGAACGGAAACATCGGAAGAGATTTTCTATTTGAAATGTATATACTTCTTTTTTATACCTCACAAAATCCAGATTGTCTAATATGTGGTTTAACTGTTAAATTCTTGAGTGTCGGGTTTGATTCGTCGTTCCTATTTTTGTTCTTATTTGTTCTCTTTTGCTTACTTTTCACTGATCATACAAATGTTTACTAAGTACATATTGTCAAATAAAGAAGCAGACTTTCAGCATGAAGGCTAAATAATGTGAGAACCTGTGAAAAGGTTCCGCAAGCCATTTCGATTGACATTCGTCAAATCCAGCTCTCTCCGCTCTTGATGAAACGTAGAGAGTTCCTAATCGAAAACCATGCCTTTTCGAGAATCCAAAATACGCCTCAGAATCCAAAATACTTTCTAGAATTCGGTTTCTGGGAAGTGCGTTTTTGTCCCTAGCCAACACCCGCCCCAAAACGAACCCAAATTGAAATTCGATGCAATGCCAGGGTTCGCGCAGTCTTAAAAAGTCCTTGAATTCAGTGGCGTAGAGTGAGATTTTGAAATTATACGCGCTGGAAGAAAAGTTAGAGCTCCTTCGGCACTCCAAACAAGGGGGCTTGAGGGGCATGCTTCCCCAGAAAATGTTTAAATTTAGGGTCTCGGAAATGCTATTTCCTGCGTTTTCAGCAAAAAAATATAAGGAAAATGCAGTAGTTAGGTACAGTGTTTTCGAAAAAAGGGTAAAACAGTGACCCCAACAAAGAGGTTACAAGAAAAGGGGAGACGTCTACCCTTCAGACGGGCAAACTCTGTTACACGCCATCAATATAAACGTCTGTTTATGGATTAGTAAAAGGAAAAGGAAATACTAACACAAAGACACTAAAGATATTTCGAAAGAATTATCAGTCATCCTGATTTAATGACAAAAATGCTTTCAGGAAATAATAAAGAAAATTCCAGACTTTAGCTGTACACATGTGCTTATATGCGTATATGGACGCTACGCTCCTGTGAATTTTAAGGGAAGTCCTTGAAAAGTCCTTGAATTTTCTTCAACTTTGAATGTAGTGGCCTGGAAAGTGTTGGTTTTTTTAAAAAATGTGTTTTGGTTGTCCCAGACAACATGAATCATAACTCAGAGGAGTTTAAGGTGATTTACATAAAGCATTTTTGAAGGCGCTTCTTCTTGCGCCGGTGTCTGCATGGTGTTCTATTATCACCAGTAACAGTAACGTTTGGACAGAAAATTAATAAACTTTCCCATCATTTAAATTTTGGGGTAAAAGTTACGGGCCATTTATTTTTAATCACATTTGTTTGAAATTTTGGTTACTACAATGGGCAGCACAACCCACAACTACTCCCCTATAAGACCGTTCAGTTTATTAGAACAGTGGTCACAGTACAACCTCGAACAAACAAAGCAAATCAAAGTGCTGATTGTTTGTGATATCTAGCGCCTACCTGAAATAGATTAACCCTTTAATCCCTAAGATCCAAATTTGAATTCTCATTTGTTGCCCCTGTTCATTTCGTACAGAAGAGGTGGGGGAGAAGTTGATAAAGTATCAAGCAAATTCACCTTGTGTGCATTTCCGTTGTTCTCATGAACACTGTTTTACAAAGCTTACGAAACATTGGTTTTACAAGGAGAAATTTGATGCTGATCACTCTTTGGGCTTAAAGGGTTTAAAAGGCTACTGTATGGTTATATAACCTTTGAAGTTTGCAGACGATTATCAACTAACCGTTTTAGCTAGGCTGATAACCATTTTTTGCGATTCTAGTGTACGTAGGTTTTCAAGCTTTCCTTTTTTGGAATTCTTAATTTTAACGTAATTTATATTGCAAACCTTAAGTACGGTACAATTAACGTACAGTAAAATGTTCGCACGAAAAATTTCGGACACACGTACATATCCTTTGTCCGAAAGTTTTGCTCGGCCCGAATATTTTCGCGATTTCAATCCCCATCTATAGATCTTGAAGTACGTGTCCTGGGTGCCGGTGAAGCAAGATGATATCTAACCTCCTAGACAATATAACTTACAGATATAAATTTTAGTGTTTAGATAAATGACTTCCCTGACTAGTCTGATCTGCTGTAAATCAACCATCTGTTTTAGCCCTAAAAAATGGGATCGTCTCGGTGAGAAAAATAAAGTCCTATTTTTTGGGTCTAATTTGGCTGCCCTTATCAGGGCCATTACAGTTCAATTACCGAGGGCTGATTTGCACCCACTGGCTAATATGAGTCCTAAAGTGGGCTAGAATAGGCTTTTGATGGGGCTCTTTTGGCTTAAGGGACGGACCATTAGAAAAGTGATGGAAGGGGTGGGGAATTTTCAGCTTGCACGAATTTTTTTTTTCGCTCACTGCTTGTGCAGGAAATTTTTTTTCAGGTGAACTCCTCTGCACGAATTTTTTTTCCAGACAAATATTGCTTTTTTCTGAACAGTGAAATCTTGATTCATTATCTATGTTTTTGTGCTTTATAAATTATTCTACACTCACAACAGATCAAAGGATACAGCCCACTTTGATGCAAAATCTTTTGTACACACAGTGAGAGAGGAGGAGGCCACTTGGAGTGGACGGCTTCCTTGTGCATTTTTTCAGTCCCTGCCCTCTGGAATTCCTCTCCCACAGCCCATCATAATGATGCCATACTCCATTCACCAGTGAAAACCATACTTTGTGGTTCTTGATTTTTGTTAAAAGTACCGGTGGTAGTGTTGCCGTTTATGTCATTGACGGTTAAAGTTTTAACACTTACTACTACGTGTGAATGCACTTTTTCATTGTATTATAGAATTCTTATTCAAGGAGGTAAGACCCATCCTCTAATTTTAATTGTGGGCACAAATAATTTTATAGAATATTTACAAAGCTGCCAAATTCTAATATTTATTTATTACAAATTTTATTTTATTATGTTTATTATAATATAGTATACAGTGTATGTTGTAGGTACACTGGCTGCAATTTAAAACAAAAACAAGGTTCTAATTGTCTCCTTTCAATAAGAAGGAAGTGATTTTTGTTTATTCATATTGTGCCTGGTGATATTGTTGATTTCTGAAACTCAGACTTTCTGAAAAAGTCACAATTAGACCTTCCTTCTGCATGAATCAAAAAGAAATGGAAGAAGAAACGTACTTAAAAAAAAGAACCGTAAAAGGGAACGTACTTAAAAAAAAAACAAAAAAGGGGGTGGGGGTAGTGAAAAGATTACCAGGCAGGGATTCAACACAAATTTACCGACCAGGAGAGGCTGAATCAAGTCCCACTTACACTACAGAAAAAAACTGGGTCCGGACCCATTAAAAAGTGGTTCGGACCAATTTTTTTTAACCGTTTACACTGGTAACAATAGACCAATTCGGCTAACTCAATGTTGTACCCAATTCAAACTCTTTGGGAATAAAACGTTTTGTTTCAGGAATTTCCATATCATTTAAATGTGAATGCCACCTTATAATGCAAATACAGTGCACAAAGAATCTCAACCCCGAGAGATCTGAATTGAGTACAACACGTACATTGCGTTAGCCGAATAGGTCTATCAGGTTAGGCTTATGATTGAAAAGTGCAATAGTACACATGCGCGAAACCACCGTAAAGCACGGCAGGCTCACATGAAGAAGATGGTACGGAACGAAGATGCGTTTACACAGAGCTTTCGAACAGCGAAAGGGGTGCGGACTCGTTTTTTTTTTTGTAGCAAAACTTTCGAACAAAGGATATGTACGTGTGTCCGAAATTTTACGTGCGAACATTTTACTGTACGTTGATTTTACTAATATATAAATTACGTTAAAATTAAGAACTCCAACAAAGGAAAGCTTGAACCTCAGCCTATGGCCCCAAAACCAGAGAAAAGCGAGTCCGGATCCATTTCATGAAATCATGGTACGGAAAGTTTTACATGGCAAAAATATCTTGTCCCTAGCAACTTTTTTATGGTTCCGGACGCATTTTTTGGGGCTTTAGACTTTGGACTGCAGGGCTGAATTGCAGGGGCGGATCCAGGATTTTTTTTAGGAGGGGGTGCACTTGTCTCTTGCTCTACTTCAACACCAATAAACCACATAGTTTTTTTTGGGAGAATACCAGTTGCGCACCCCCTGCACCCTCCCCCTAGATCCGCCCCTGAATTGGCACTTTACGGCTGGAACAGATCTTTTTAACTTTTATTGAAGTGATAAAGCTATGCTTGACTTGTACTGGGGAAGCAACTAAAAGAGGAACTTGAACAGATAAATAAATAATTGATCCCGTTATTAAACTGAATTAAATGCACTTTAGATATAAAACTCGATCGCTTTTAGAAAGTTGAAACAAAAACTATGGACGTTATGAATATGAAAATCATATATCTGAAGTGGGGAGTGAAGTATTAAACTAGGATGATCATCGCAGTTATATGAGCAACTTTTGCAGTTGCGAAAAGAAAGCCTGAATTTTTTTCAGGCTTTCTTTTCGCAACTGCAAAAGTTGCTTATATAGTTGCGATGATCATCTTTCATTTAAAAACTATGGAGTTGGTAATATTAAACCAATATATATTTTTAAGCAATTTAAGTCGGAATCCATCAGGAAATTGAGTAATTTTAATTTTCAGTGGACAAAAAACTTGTATCAGAATAATTTAAACAATATCGCATTCTTTTTTACATTTTCAAGGGCTATAGATGTAATTGGCTATCTGTAATAACACCAAAGAATATTTTTTATGAGAGTCCGAGAAATTAAATGTCAAATGCCGAGAAAATTTTCAGAAATTTACCTTTGTTTTTTCAACTGTATTTGTGGAATTCTGACATTTATTTTCTCGGGCTCACAAATGCACATGAGAAGTAGTCTTTGGTGTTATTTCAGATAACTAATTATATCCATAGCCCTTGAAAAATGTGAAAAAGAATGCGATATTGCTTAAACTATTTAATACAAGGTTTTTGTCCACTGAAATTACTCAATTTCCTGATGGATTCTGTCTTAAACACTTCACATAAAAGGATGCTGAAATCAAAATGGGCGTGGTTTTAGATTTGTCTTGGGTTGATGTTCTTCTTCTTTTTTTAAAAATAAGCATACCTAATATTGTAATAGACGAAATTATTGAGAGTGCCTAATTATTATTCGATTTCAGAGTTATAACGAACCTCAGTAAATTAAGGAAACACTTAAAACTGTCTAACGCGAATTTTTCCCCGAAATCTTTGAGGCACTCCGTGGACTCCAGGAGGCTTGGTAGCTAAGCACCAGGATTGATCTCGTCGAGCGCACGAATAACACCTTCGGATATTATTATCGAATTTT